TGTTTATATATAACTGCCAAAAAATTACGTTTCCAGAGATATTTTGTGCTCTCTTTGAAGGACGACCACGTGAATATATATTGCATTCAATATTTTCTGTACAGCTAGTACCTAGTATAGCTTATATTCTCAGCTATTTCTTCCTCGATGGAAGAGAGATGAAATATTTCAGATATGTTTTACGTGAGCTTTTAACGAAAAATCAAGAATAAGACCGAACTCATTACATTAATTCACAGAGTTGGGAAAGTTTCTTTTTAAAAATAACGCGTTACTATTATCGTTATTTGCGATAAAAAGTAACTCGTTGCCGTTATTCGTTATCGATTGTAAAAAAGTAACACATTACCGTTACTTAATAATGATAAAAAAATCGTTATTTTTCGTTATTTTTTTTGTAATTATGCAGAATGAGACGAGCTTACTATTCACTGATTTTGATGAAATTAATCATTCGATGTTTTTGCACGAAACGAACGAATCTGGCAGAAAAATAAGTGTCGCTCTGCCCAGTAAACTGAAATTAATGTTTAAGTTGATGAGTATTGAGATAAGGAAATCTGTCCTAATTTCATCAAAATTGATGAATAAATCTGTCTTCTATATAATTACACTTTTTAAAATGGTAAAACAGGCTTCTAGGACAGAGTATAAATAAACTATAAGAAAAACATTTATCTTTGAATATTTTTATCTTTTATTAATATTTTATATACTTATGTTTAATTCTGTGGTACTTTATTATATAATAGATATTTTAGTTTTTAGTGTTTTTAGTGATAAAGCGACGATAGTGATTGAAACAAAAATAGGCAAAAAGTTTTTGATTTATTTAGTATCTATAATTTTATTGTCCGTGACGGCCGTGATCTATAAAAAAATAACAAGAATAATGGGGTCAATTTCGTTATTCGTTATGAAAGAAGATGTAACGTCGTTTCTTTTTCGTTATTAATAAAAAGAGTAACGGCGTTATTAAATCATTATCAAAAAAAAGTAACGAAACAGACAAGTAACGCATTACTTCCCAATCCTGTTGATTTATTATATTGATCATTATATTTGATCATCATAATTTTGGAAATGTTTACCTACTAAAGCGAATTTATAGAAATGGATAAAATTGTGCGCTATTTTCTTTTATATCATACGGCGTCTTGTGATTACAAAATTATTTTAGAAATATTTTATTAGAAACGTAAAAACTATGTAAACTATATGTTACTGGAATGTTTTTAGCAATCGAAAATTTTTAGATATTTTATAAAAAACTATATATTTAATGTGTCACATTTCTGTGACGCACATTCACATTTGGATTGTTCGATCTTTTATAGTAAATTTTATGAATTCAAAGTCTTTTAAATTGTGGGACAATCTGTGCAAACAGTATAAATGTGATTATATGAAAACATGTTCAATTATTTTAAGAATTAAAATTTATATTTTGCATTATCGCAAGAATCAGATGTATAATCTCGCTTATTTAGACTCATTTACGCGGCGAAAATCAGTTCTCAAGCTTCAATGATAATTTTTGATATTGGAAAAATAATTTCATTCTTGTCTCAAGGCTACGACCATTCCGCTTGGCGCGATAGAGAAAGAAAACTAGAGAAGGAAGTTAAGAATGTTGTGCGTCTTATTAATTATATGAAACCGCATCAGTGGAGGACCTACAATTTCGCGAACGTGATACATTATGATTGTGTAAAATTGTAAAATTTGTCAAGGGGTCCGGGCGAAAGCGACGCGCTTTTTCCAGCTGTGTGAGACTTTTAGTTCGCGACCAGCCTCGCCGAAGATACTCATGAAAGAAGGAAAGGATACCTTCGCCCGCTCCCCATCAAGCTTGATATATAGATTGTATTTTTGGCTTATTACTGTAAGACTGACTATGTTGCTATATTAAAGATTGCTTCAAAAACAGGCCAATAAAACTTTATTACATCCTTTTTTTCTCCTCCATTTCTGAATTCTGTAATCCTTTATCCAATGTGCTATAATTTTGTTTCTGAAACTAGTGATCAACTGCTTTCACACAAACATGTTACATCCTAATTTTTCTTAAATAAAACTGATTAATTAAAAATTGGGTTTTGGGAAAAAAGCATACTAAAAGACATAATACATACATATTTTTTATTGTTCTTTCGTATAAAGATTATAAAACTTAATATATATCCAACGTGTTAAATGTCGATTTCGTTAATAACTAAAAAAAAAGCGTCTAACGCGCGATATATCGTGCAAAATTTTCTT